GACAACAGGATATTAGTAGCTTCACTTATTCCGACCCCAAACACAGAACACGCTATGTCAGGGTAGGAAAGAAAGGTAAAGGACAGGAGGGAACCCTCAACAGGAGCCCCGACCCACGAAAGAGCAAGTTGACTTCCGCTCTTTTTCATCTTGAGCCAAATAGTCATGGCAGGTTGCATTGTCAGATAACTTTACATCGAGGATCATCGTTATTTTACAACTTTTCCTTCTAGGATTCGGGTTTAAATTTTAGGATTTTTGGGCTTTCGGGTTTTGAGGAGGCCAGGCTGAGACAGCAGGGCTCCTCCAGCAGCCGGGCGGCTTCGCCCTCACCTGTGGACATGGCCGCCACAATACTAATAACAGTAATAGTAACAATAATAATAACAATAATAACAACACCACAATAACAGAAATCATATGTAGCGATAACAGTAATAAAAACAACTGTAATAGTACTAGTAATAAGAATAAGTTAAACTAAAAAACTAATACCCTTAATGGTAATGCTGATGATCGTAATCATCATGGTTGCATTATACACCAGGATTCCAGCAAGAAGCTTCCATGAAGCAGAGCGATGAGAGCCAGAGCTTTCAAGTGTAGCTGACTGTTTAATGCGGTGTCCTTTGACTCCTCGCGTGTGTACACAGCATATCATCGGCGAGGCTAACTGCTGTTGCAGAAGGGGAGGGATAATTGAGTCCTAGCCTCCGAGGTGACAACCCCTCACGCGCATCCGACAACCGTAAATCTGAACCACAAAGCCATAGAAATCTGCAAGTCCAAAAAAACCCATGTGCCCGTTCAGAGTCGGTGCACTGATTTCTGGATGACACTGGCTCTGCGTGTTGCTGCAAAAGCTTTGCCACAGGGCTTGACATCAAGGCATGGACAAAGAAGTGTACACAGCCCTCACAATCCGTTTGAACACTATCACTACCCTATTGCAGAACTGACAGAGTCAACCGTGGCAACTCTCTGGCCGAATAGAGCGGCGTCTGATACGAGGTTACTCCTCAGGTTACCACACTGTTACTATCAGGGTACTCTAAGGTTACTGTAAGATTACTACATCGATTGCAGCACAAGCCTTGCTGAGGGGCGATGGAAGCAAGCGCCCCCAGCTCAGCCTGTCATGCTTTGTCCAGAGGGCTCTCTTTCAACACCTAAACTCAACCTCATGCAAGCAAATGCAAGCAAGGACTTTCAAGAAGCCTCGACGAAAGCGGCCTGCTCGAGGAAAGGTCCTGCAGTGAGAGAAAAGCGGAATCCGGAAGAAGTAAGCGACTGGGCACAGCATTCAGCATCTATGGGATGTCATCTGCGTGGGGTTCTGTGAGGTCTCGCTTGGCCAAGCATGTCAAGGCTGCACAAACCATCCGTCACACAGAGTCCTGTCTGTCTTCTCATCGCATCCACGTAGCGTTGAAACTCCACATTTTGAAGCTCCAAAGCTGCCGAGAGCTCCTGACAGAGCCGCAGCACCTCGAAACTCAAAGGCCCCACCCCCCCCCCCAAAGAGCAGACGCAGCTTGGATTCGGGAATTCTGGGGCGGGCACCGCGCAGCTTGTAGCCTGGACCAGAAAAGAGAAATATGACATGCAATAAGAAAGCTCTCGAGGTTACATGGGAAGAGTATACAAAGCTGCGTTAAGAGCAACTGTGTCCGGACACGTGTTCACTCCTCATGGTGGGATGCTCTTCAGGTTGCGAAACCCAGGCCTCCATCTCGGCTGCCCGTGATTCTGATGCGGCCAACCTGTGAGGCATGGGGGACAAGGCAGAAGGAACATCCAAAGCCACGGTCCCGGCCCCGTCAGTCCGTTAGTATCTTCCACACCTTCCCGGTCGAAGCCTCTTGGACACACTACTTTTCCGAGTGGCCTTCGGCGCAACATTGCTGCCTCTCGGCGAAAGAAGCATGTGTCTCGAGCAGAAAGTCTGCCAACACCAGCTCCGCACCTCCTGTGCTTGTGGCCTGTGATACCCAAGGACATGCCGTCAGAGAATGCCAAAGAAGCAAAACATGCTACGTGCATGTTACTATACCGAAGATGTCGCGCCTGGTTCTCTCCAAAAGATCCTCGGCCACATCCTCGGCAAGTCGCTGAGCCTCCACTGTTCGAACTTCTCTTCACCGGTTGGCACCCGGCGAGACGAGCCCTCAGTTCCTGGGACACGATTGCACTTCTCGTTCCGTCGCTCGCTTCTCTCTTCCGACTCCCACCTCCTCACGGTCACTGCTGCCATCTCCTGTCGAGCAAAGAAAAAGAAGCTGTACATTCCCAGCTCGCCTTCGCACAGAACACCGCCTCGAAGGTCTCTACTTGTAACCTGTCAGCTGTGTCAACAGCTACGGAGGACTGTCTGGACCACTGCAGTCAGGTCACTGGACTCTGATCCTCCGTGGCCTCAAAGCCCTCGGCTGCCTCGACCAGGCCTCATTTTTGGCGCGTCGTCACTACTCCGACTGCAAGACGTCCGGAAACACGGATCACTTCACATGAGTTCTTCCCGACCTTCTTGACCCGGACTTGACTGGCTGGGGCTCATGTAACCTCAGGAAGGACGTTTCTCTGCCAGCAGTGACTTCGCCCATGCCGTCCCGCCTGTGTTGAGTCCTCGTGAGTATTGGGACCCGACTGCTCGGTGTGCGCCTGACTGTGCTGAGCAAGGACAGAGGACTCGTCCTGGCTGCAAGCGCACGCCGGAAAGCCGAGACCGGTGCGCCGCAGCGCCGCGGCTTCTGTTTTCAAGTCCTGTCAAGGAAACAATCGGGAAACCGCCTTGCTGTTCCTGGCACGAAGCTAGTGTCCTGTTCTGAGATGGACAACATTGGGACATCCTGTCACATGGTCACAGGACGCGTCTTCACGGAACGGCACATCTGCCAAGTCCGAAAAGCCCACCTCCTTGCAGCTCTGCCCATGTTGGAAGCTCTGCCGTGCCTCAGCGGAGAGTGCCAACGCCGAGAGAAGGCGATGACGGGCTTCTCCCTTCTTCTTTTCTCACCTTTAGCCCGACCGGTTTGCGTATTCGCCTGGAAAACTGAAGTCTCAGGAAACGAATCGATCGCTAGCCGCTAGTCCTTTACTCTGAAGTTGCTTGTGGCCTGTGCCAGAATGGACCCAGGCCCCTCTTTGCTTCGGTCAGCGATTGGAGTTTTGCTCGTTGTGCTCTGTAGAGATTTAGAACATTGGGAGTGAGGGACAAAACCCGCAACATGCAGCCAGCAGCCGCTGTGTTGATTCCTGCTCGGTGCCACTCTTTGTGCGGCGGGTTTTGCAGAATGCTGTGAATCAGAAGCAAGCAGAAGCAAGCAGAAGGGTTCTCAGGCCGCTTCCTTCTTGGCACGTCGTGCTCGAGAGAGCCAGATGGCCTGGTCACAGAGACTGAAATTCTGGAGGCCTCTTCAGATTCAGGCTGGATGCAAGGGGATTTAGGAATCTAGGCCCTCTTGGAAAGTCGAGACCACTTCACCCGTTTTGCTCGCCAGCTCTCGGAACATGTGGAGCTCTGGAGCGGCTTGGTCCTTACACAAAGGCACCTTCGGATTCGCAGCTGGTGATCTCCGACTAGATTGAAACATGGGCTGGTCGAGGCCCCAAGGGTTTGAACCGCGGAACCAACGACAGCGTCCAAAGCTCGGGCAACACCAGCCTAGGTCCTTCCTGGCGGCTGTCTGAGACGACATCTTTAATTCGCCGTCCGACCAACCTTTTTGCAGCCCTGCACAGTGTGAGGCAGTGTCGAGAGGCCCTAAACCCTACACCCTAAACCATAAACCCTAAACCCTAAACTGGCTGTTCAGGGCTTCCCGTCGAGCACATCATTGCGTTCCATGGCCACCAGCCTGAAGCCAACGTTAGTTTCCGCCAATCTACAGGTCGTGGGTCCCCCCCCCAGGACCTGTAGGATGGCTGAAACTAACGTTGGCTTCTGCAGCAGGGTCGTCCCGTTGATACTGTCTGGACCTCCATTGGGTGGCCCGGATATGTTTCTCAGGTTGGTCATGCCGTCAGCCCACAGATCGTCCTGATCATCTTTGAAACTTGCGAGCCACGTGCGAATGGTGCGGATCCTGCCCTCGGCATTCACTTCGAACACGGAGGTTCCAATCTTAAGGAAGTTGTGGACCTCAAGAGCGAAGGCACTTCCATCCATGGACACGAAGGCGTGCTCTTGTGCTGTGTCCTTATACTCTTCCAAAAACGGCCCCATAATAGTCGTCATGTGCACGTCTTCGGCGAGAAGAGGCCGGTGAAGCTCTGCATGGTGGGCTCAAGCCTGCGATCCAGCTCTCATCAGCTCTCCATGAGGCTGTCGGTTGTGGGAGCCGTCACGCCCAAGCCGGCTCGCTTCTGAACCAAGCTGCCGGGGTGGCATGCCTCTGGCACGGTCTCGGACCAAGCTCCGACGGCCATGGCCGCGAGAATCACGGCGAAGAGTTCAACGCGGCACTAGTTTAAGAGAGGCGATGACTCAAAGGCCTTGAGCGAAAGGGCTGCTGTCAACACAACCAGCCTGCACAGTGCAAAACATGAGCCATGTGCAAGATCACTAGTTGTCCGTGAGGGCGATGCCTCAGCTTGCAGGTCCAAAAGCGGTGAACCATGCTCCATGGCGACAGGCACACAGCCCGTATTGAACCCTCAATAAGGTGGCAGATAATGCAGTGAACGGCAGCTTGGGATTTCCTAAACCCTAAACCCCAGTCCTTGCAAGCTGCGACTGCGGTCTCGCAATGTGCCCAAGACCAGCTGTGCTTGAGAAGTCGTCGAGAACGAAGCTTGCAAGCACTCAGGCATGAACTGAGTGTGTTAAGATCCAGATTGAAGTGAATTGAGGTGCCTAGGTTAGATAGAATACATGTCCCTCAGCACCTGACAAGCGCGCACCCGCTGCTTTCATTTAAAATCGCCCCCTTTGCGGGGGAAGAGCGCAGCCCCCTTTGGGGGGGGAAAGCGCGGAAGGGCAAGCCACAGCTTTTGTGGACAAACCACGGGATTGGAACCTATGCAAAGCAGCAAGGAGGGTTACCTGCGTCACTGCGAAAGCGACTCTGCCCCACTCCAAGGGCAACAGTAATGATAAAATGCCTCAGTGGCCGCCACAGGCTGGGAATGCAGAAGGCTTAGCTCGGGAGTTTACGGGTTAGGGAATCGAAAGGGTCTCACGAGCCTCACAACTCACTGGGATGTACCCGCCCGGACTCGAGACTTAGGATGCAAGGATTGGAGTTTGGAGCTTCAGGCTCATCCAGAAACGTTCGGACCTCGCAGACATGCCAGGAAATCCTTATGAGATGCCAAGGTGCCTATCATCAGAGAGTTGATGGCATAGACTGCCACCACAGACGACGAGCAAGCAATGTTTACGAGAGCCTCCTTCCACCACCGGTTCCGCTGCGTCTTGAGGCATCTGGCCGTGCATGCCCAGAAGGCAGCCGTGATCGGTATGACTGCCAACCAGTAGGATGCGATGTAGCACCTTTGATTTCACGACGTGGTTTGGGTTTACAGACAACAAAGGGGGGACAAGCCTAAATGCAGTTCACAAACTGGGTGATAGCTTGCAAGATCTGCGATGAAGGAACATCTCCGCAATCGCCATGGCATACCTTTGCTCAGTCATCGGTTTGATGAAGTAGTAAAACTTTGACCATGCGATCGGAGTCGTGGCTCCAATCACCCAAGAGTACGGTACTGGATATCCCCCAAGCTTACGCTCGAAAGCTGCGCGAACTTGCCGTTGGACGAGTCTGTCAAACTCTGCCACGGAACCAAACCACAAACGGATGCTCCCCTCCAGGAAATGCCGGTCGCAGGGAGTGCGCTGCCCATCTTTATCAAGATGGTTCGTAGTGCCTTCATCAACAATACAGACGAAGATGTTGAAATGCTATATACTGTTAGGACATACGACTGCGATGCAGGCCCCAAGCCCTCAACATTTGCCAATGAACAGCGAAGGAGCAACAATGACAGACCGTGTCGCGCTGTAGCGAGAAGGTTCGCAACTGCTCAATCATGGAATCAACTGCACGGAAATGGCTACGCATAAGCGCACTTGCAGAAGAAAGGCAGAGTATGCACAACGGCATGAACACCGACACCGCGAGGGCAACCGCGACGAGTGGCTCCCCTAACCGAACGTCAATCCTCCACAAGCCTTCCATCGCTGAGACCAGGATCAGACACATAAACCAGAAGCCCAAGAAAAGGATGGCAGTGATGGGGGCCCATGTCACGGGCGCAATATGAAGCCGCGCATCTTCCTCGTGGCTCTGCAAGAAGGCCGCAATCTCGAGAACACACCAGAGCCTTCACACCATAATCTTAGAAACGAGTTTCGGGTTGCGCGCGGGTTTGGAATGGAATCGACCTTGCTCGCCAGCCTACCTCATCGCCCTTGCATGGTAGCTACTTATCGCAGTTCCGCAGGCTGACACCCAGGCTTGCCTGCAAGAACTTAACTCTGATGTTCGATGGTTCTGGCTGAATCCGAGTTCAGCATGCGGGCCTTCGTATGTAGGTGGTGTCCCAACAAACCAGCATGGACTTCGAGCGTTTCACCATGGCGGCCACATTCAACACGCCTTCCAACTTGAGAAGTTCATCTCTCTGATGGATGCAGATCCTGTCCAGAAACACGTCTCTTGTTGACTGCCAGAAGAGGAACGTCAAAGCGGTCACTGGAAGGCCCAGGCTTGTGCTGATGACTGCGTGATTGCAGTACCAAGCTTCACCAGAACATATGCTGTAAGCTTCAAGAAGTGCGAGCGTCAGCACAACCGCGAGCGTGCCCATCAGCAGAGCGGGTAGACCATTGAAGACCAGCAGCAGGAGCGCCACCTTTTCCCAAGCTCTCCCATGCCACGAGTGCGAGCAAAACTCATGGATTTCATTGACCTGCCTGCTAAGGCCGTACAGATCGCTGCGTGCTGGGCCGCCACGGAGTCCCTGGCCGCATCGCCCCAGCACATGTCGCGCGGAGGTCACCCGGAGCATTTCAGGACGAGATAGCTGCATGCGGGCAACGTGCTGCGTAATCTTCAGCATCTTCATCCTGATATTCTTCGATGACTATCTCAAGGGAAGGGTTTGGGTTTATGGTTTGTGGTTTGGGAGTGATAAACCCTAAACCTCTGAGAGTCGTAGGAGCGTTCATAAGAACATGACATCATTATGTCAAGTGGGTTGGAGACAAGCAATGGCGTTGAATAGGCACAGAAAAGACGGCAAGCAAGCATCCCCCTAATGGCCCTAATGGAGTGAAGAGCTGCGCAGTCTGGAACTCCTCTGCATCCACGTTGGAATCATTTGCATCCGCGTCCACCTCGACGTTGACCCATTCTGAGGCGACCTCGACTACGCGGGGCATTTGGCGCCATGGTGGGACTGGATTCTCCCAAGTACAAACATGCCGTGCTACACATCACGCAAGCTGGAAAACATCGGACGAAGAAGGCAGAGCTACATCGAGAAGTTTTATTTCGCAGTAGCTGTCCATCATAACATTTCACGAAAGCGCAGCTGATCTGAGGCGCACCTTCCCTACTACACTGCACGCCTGTTTCATCCGAGAAGGGCGGCCGAAAACTCGAGATACTTGGGCAACACCCAAAACCCTAAACCCAAAACCCTAAACCTAAACCCTAAACCCCTAAACCTAAACCCTAATCACCAGGCCGGCCCACCTGGGCATTCACCTCGTAGCTTTCATCGGACGACACAGCGTCGTCGTCCATTCCTGGTCTCGAGAACACTACCAGACATGGACAATACACCCAGGTGCAGATAGATTGAACATAGAGGTAGATAGCAAAATATAGACAGACAGACAGACAGACAGACAGACAGACAGACAGACAGATGGATGGATGGATGGATGGATGGATGGATGGATGGATGGATGGATGGATGGATGGATGGATGGATAGATGTTTCAACATACATATGACATGTAAGAATTCATGTATGGATTCAAAACGCCTGTAGTATGATGGGAACTTGATTGCAAGGACTGCGAAGGCTACATGCGAGCGCCTCATGCCGCCTAGATTCCGCATAGAACAAACAAGAGCTTTCGAGAACAGCACTTTCCCTTTCAAATGTCACCATCTCCCAACATAACATCGGAAAGCAAGCCAACTCGCAAACAAAACAAGCTCTTGCCGACTTGATTTCGTGGGAACTCGGAGCACTTTTCAATCTACAAGCGGTCCACTGTGCCTGTAAATGCTCCTGCGGAGCGAGAGCGAGAGCACCGTCGTAAGGTTGCCATTGAGAGTGTGCAAGCGACTACATAAACATGTTGCCACCACTGCAGTATTGTAAGCTCAGACAAACTCGTGGATGCTCATCGTCTTGCTTTACTTGATTCGGACGCTGTTTGAACCTATGTGGCTCTGGACAAAGAACGAACGCTGAGTCATGTCTGTCCGTCAGAAAGCTCCAACAGAAAGGTCCCCATGGAGGAATGCGGCCAGTAGCGGCAAAGACCGATTTTGACACGTCCCCATTCTGCTGTTGGTCGCCTGGCCCTTGCGAGGCGAATAAAGATCTACGTCTGAAAACGAGTTTAAAACTTGCTGGTCAGCGACTTTTTTAGGCGCTGCCTCAGCCTCGGCACGGTGAGCGGAATGTCCAGGTCGTCCGAAGCAATGACAGCGACAGCTTCAGACGCCCGGGCCTGGACCCGCCAATCTCGGGCCGCAAAGGCGGAGCCCGCGGCGATGAGCCCCCCGATCCGCTGCAAGGACACGCGCAGCGCCTTGGCGCTCCACTTCACCGCCTCGCCGGCGGCCACCTCCGGGGCGCGCTTCGCACTCTGGGCATCCAGGTCCAGGAGATTGATGCCATCCAGGAGCGAGAAGGAAGCTTTGGTGGAAGCCGGTGTGGTTTCCCCCTGGAGCAGATTGCAAAGATTCTGAGAGGACATGAATGCCAAGCCGGTCTTCTGATTCGGCTCTTGCAGGAGGTGGTGGAGTTCATGCAGCGACTCGTCCAGGCCCTGAACGACTAGCTTGATAGCTCGAACGAAAGTGTGGCATCGATCCACATCGCCAGATGGCAGAATGTCTTTCACCAGTTTGGCAGCATGCCCAATGCTGTCACAGCGCTTGGCGCTGTTCTGCAGCGCCGACACCCAAACATACACCTGCATCTCACGGCAAGACTGTTCGATGAACTCGCCGAAGCTAACATCACGTCGCCGTCATCGGCAATGCCACTGCCAAACACCGTGCATTATTGTTGAGATGTCATCATCACTACTCACATCGACATCGACTTCATGTCGCCATCGTCACTATCATAATGCACATCGTAGTTGACATCAATAACATCATCTCTTCTTATTGTAACCACCATCATCACCATTACAACATCAACATGTTGAAGCCACAGTCTTGTGC